ATCCGGCCAAAACGCTAAGCGATTGATAACAGCGATCGCTCAGCGATCGCTCTCATCGCGCCGCGAAATCCGGCCAAAAACGCTAAGCGATTGATGACAGCGATCGCTCAGCGATCGCTCTCATCGCGCCGCGAAATCCGGCCAAAAACGGACAAGTTGGACAAGTTGGTCAAGTTTATTCAAAATAAACAGGGAACAGAAGCTGATACGCCTGTCTCGGATGCTTCAACAACCGAGCAAGAAATTCCGCCTTCGCAAGAAGCCAATGGCATCTGCAGTAATCGACTAGCTTCGGCCGCCGACGCCGGACTTGAGAACAGTATTCAAGAGCGATCGAACTCGGTTATCAGTGCTGATATTGAGGGCTTAAAACTGGATTTACTAATTCTTCAGAAAAAGGTTGAAGCAAATACAAGCCTTCTGTCGACGAAATGCAAATTACAAGAAACCGCTTTTAGCGCCGAGCTCCTCGATTACAAAGAGAGGTATGAGAAGGTGTTATCGACATTATCTAAAAAAGATAATGAAATTGAGGTGTTGGAGGAAAAGTGTTTTTCCTATGAGAGCCAAGTTTTGTCCTTGCAACAAGAAAATGATTCTCTTAAGCTGGCTATGAAGATCATTATGCAAGAAAGAAGCGAGGGCGAATGCCGCCAACAAAAGAAATGTGATTGTTGGTCCCAAGTGGGCACACTTGGGAAAAGTGTGAATGATAAACATATCCAGCGGCCGTTGGCGGCCTGCAATATAGAAACTCAGAACAGATTTGAGCCCCTTAGAAGTGAGGTACAATTCCAAGTGAGAAATGAGGACAACTATACTACAAATAACGAAGAAAGTCGCCAACAACAGCAACAGCAACATTCACATGTTGATTCATCTGAAGCGAGCCGGGCATTTGATTCAATTCCAACTAGTCATAACCGCTATCAGGCCTTACTTGTCTCTTCTCCTTCGAGTCAAGTATCCTCTGAGATGCCACTGCATCAGTCTGGAGCGCACGCAAATACCTCTCGAGTTAGTGCAAATAACTCCAAAAGCGGTGAAGTCGGAAAGACAAGACCCATAGTGCTTATTGGTGACTCAATGATAAAACACATTGATCCAAAAAGCTTTCGCAAAGACATGTACATAAATTCTCATATCCCGGGAAAACCACTGCTGAAATAGCTGAAGCTGTTGACAACATCGCTGTTGCATCCGCTGATCCTTCTCACGTCATCATCCATACTGGCACTAACAATCTTCCATCGGAGTCTGCCGATTCATGTGTCGCCGATATCAAGAGCCTTGTATTGAAGGTGAAGAGCAAGTTTCCTAACTCAAGCATTGGTCTCTCGGGTATAGTCTACAGAGAAGATATCAACGTCGATGCTAAACGCATTGAAGTTAATGAGAGGGTCAAGCTCACAGCAGTAGATGATAACTTTACTTATATTGATAATTCGGTTATTGACGCCTCAGCATTAAATGGTAGTAGACTTCATCTGAATGCCAAAGGTTCGTCATTGCTGGCCGTGCAATTTATTAAGTTTTTAAGATCTGGTTCTGGCAAGTATAATCAGTCTCTTAAGGGTTTTCAGTCCTCAGCTATCCAACAACTGGTAAAGCTTCTGATGGAACTGGGAAACCTTCCTCTCCAGCTCGCAACAGGAGACGCCCACGCTAGCTTCTCAACCGAGTGACGTATCATCAGGTATTCCTAATCAAAACGTTGATTCATTTGAAAGTACAATTCTCTCTGATTTTCTTCCTTCTGGTCGTGGTTTTAAAATTGCAGGTTTAAACATTAATAGTCTTACAAAGCATATTGATGAACTAAGAATTCTCCTTGCCGATCGCTCCATTGATATTCTCTCAATTAATGAAACTAAACTTGATGACTCTATCAATAGTTGTGAGGTCCAAATACCAGGCTATGAATTTATTCGTCGTGATAGAAACAGAGACAAGGAGGAGGAGTAGGTTTTTATATAAAAACCTCGATTAATTTTGGAGTTCGCTCTGATTTGAATGCACCCAGTCTTGAAAATTTATGTATAGAGATTCGGAAACCAAACTCCAGGCCATTTCTGATAGCCACTTGGTACAGACCTCCTTGCTCCTCAATTGATTTATTTTTACATTACGAATCATTTCTTGAGAAATTAGATTCCCTCGGCCTAGAATATTATCTGCTAGGTGATTTAAACTGTAACCTGGCCTCTGCACAATATGATTTAAATACTCGACGCTTATGTGAAATTTCTGATTTATTTGGGCTTCAACAGCTTATAACTGAACCTACTCGCATAACTGAATCCTCTTCAACATTAATTGATTTAATTTATACAAACTATACTGACAGGGTAGTCTGTTCCGGAGTCTCTCATATTGGTATCAGCGATCATAGCCTTATTTACGTGTATAGGAAATTATCTCTCACTTTTCCTTCAAAAGGGCACTCAACCATTTCTTATAGAAATTTCCAAAATTTTAATAGAGAGAGTTTTCGTAACGATATCGCTCAGCAAGACTGGTCCTGTAATGTTTCTGAAGATCCAAATGTTTTGTGGTCTGACTGGAAAACGAAGTTTTTGGATATTGTTAATATTCATGCGCCACTCCGAACTAGACGTACTAGAACAAATAAAGCACCCTGGATCAATTCAGAATTAAAGAAAGGCATGCGTGATCGTGATGCTGCCAAAAGAAAAGCAATTACATCGAATGATCCACACGATTGGAAAAGGTACAAAAAGTTGCGAAATATAATAAACAATGACATCAAAATTTCTAAAGCATCTTATTATTCTAATGCATTTATTCAATCTAAGGGTAATCCTCGAAAAACGTGGCAAACCTTTAATGAGCTTACATCCCGTCGTGTGAATAATACAACGGTGAAAGAACTGAAATTGAATGATACCATTATCTCTAATTCTAGTGAGCTTTCTGATGCTTTTAATGACCATTTTTTTCAACAATTGGGCCCAGACTTGCTAATGAAATACCTCTAACTGCTGAAAATAATTCAAGTTATATCAATAATATAAAGGTAAATAACAACAATTTCAGCTTCTCCTCGACTAACTGCAGCATTGTTTTCTCACATCTAAACAAATTATGTAGATCTAAAGCAACTGGTCTTGATAATATTTCTGCTAAAATTGTACGTGAATGTGCTGATCTTATTTCAGTTTCACTTTGTGATCTCTTTAATAAATCTTTAGTCTCTGGTATATTTCCTGATGATTGGAAATGTGCTAGAGTTACTCCGTTGTTCAAGGAAGGTGAGCCATCTGATCTGAATAATTATCGACCTATTTCAGTCATTTCCGTTATAGCTAAAGTGTTTGAAAGGATTGTTTATGATCAGCTGTATAACTTTTTGACCAATGAAGATATCATTTCTAATCATCAATCGGGTTTTCGCTCGTTACACTCAACTGCAACTGCCCTTCTGGAAGCTACGGATAATTGGGCCTTTAATATTGATCGTGGCAATGTTAATGCTGTGGTTTTCCTCGATTTAAAAAAGGCTTTCGACACCGTTGACCACGATATCCTTCTAGCTAAAATGAGCCTTTACGGAATACAAGGTACAGCTCTTGATTGGTTTAGGTCGTATTTAACTAATCGTACACAACGATGTCTTGTTAACGGTTCTCTTTCTAGAATCTGCTCTCTTAAATGTGGGGTACCGCAAGGAACAATCCTTGGCCCCCTTTTATTTCTTATTTATATTAATGACTTGCCAAACTGCCTTACTTCGTGACAGCCTAGAATGTATGCCGATGACACCCACATTACTTATGCTGGCGTTGATGTGAATTCAATACAGTTAACTCTGAGTCACGATTTAGATAACCTAAACAAATGGCTTATTTCCAATAAACTTACTTTGAACACTTCTAAAACTGAATTCATGCTAATTGGCTCCAGACAAAAATTGAGTACTTTGTCGAACCCACTTGAGCTCTCGATTAATAATGTTCCGATAGAACACGTTTCCTCTGTCAAATCGCTTGGAATATTTATTGATGAAAATCTACGGTGGCAAACACACATTGATAAATTATCTAAAAAGGTCGCTTCCGGAATTGGAGCAATAAAAAGAATTAGACCTTTTGTCCCTCCACCTACCCTTCACTATATATACAACTCACTAATTCAATCTCATTTCGATTATTGCAATCTTGTCTGGGGTAATTGTGGTAAAACATTATTTGACAGGCTACAGAAGCTTCAGAACCGTGCCGCTCGCGTTTTAACCTTCTCTAGCTATGATGCTGATGCTAACCGTTTGATTAGACAACTCGATTGGAAAGACTTGAGCACTCAATTTCAAATACAGAAATCCATAATGGTATACAAGTCTTTAAATGGCCTTGTTCCTGAATATTTATCATCTAAGTTTATTAAACGAAATGAAACGCGTTACTCCCTGAGGGACTCTGTTAACAAACTATTTGTCCCATTTCCGCGAACTAATTTCATGAAAAACAGCTTTACTTATAGCGGAGCAGTTCTCTGGAACAGCCTACCCTGTCATGTGAGAGAAGCCGAATCTCTTAGTCAATTTAAAAGATTAGTTAATGTTCATTTTTAATGTTATACACGGCATTCATGAAAAACAGGTTTTAGTTAGATTAGTTGTAGTCAGGTTTTGAATTTTGTTTAGGATAGTTAGGTTATTTTTAATTTTTTAAATTCCTGATGGATTTTACCGTGTTTAAATAAAGATTGACTGACTGACTGAAAAACGCTAAGCGATTGATGACAGCGATCGCTGAGCGATCGCTCTCATCGCGCCGCGAAATCCGGCCAAAAACGCTAAGCGATTGATGACAGCGATCGCGCCGCGATCGCTCCCATCGCTCCGCGAATAACGCAGCGATCGCGCCGCGAAATCCGGCCAAAAACGCTACGCGATTTTGACAGCGATCGCGCCGCGATCGCGGCGCGATCGCTAATAAATTTTTACAAGGGGAATAGCCAAAACAAGATCTCTGATAAATGTTTGGAATAACCAAAACAAGATCTCTGATAAATGTTTGGAATAGCCAAAACAAGATCTCTGATAAATGTTTGGAACAGCAAAAACAAGATCTCTGATAAATGTTTGGAACAGCAAAAACAAGATCTCTGATAAATGTTTGGAACAGCAAAAACAAGATCTCTGATAAATGTTTGGAACAGCAAAAACAAGATCTCTGATAAATGTTTGGAACAGCAAAAACAAGATCTCTGATAAATGTTTGGAATAGCCAAAACAAGATCTCTGATAAATGTTTGGAATAGCCAAAACAAGATCTCTGATAAATGTTTGGAATAGCCAAAACAAGATCTCTGATAAATGTTTGGAATAGCCAAAACAAGATCTCCGATAAATGTTTGGAATAGCCAAAACAAGATCTCTGATAAATGTTTGGAATAGCCAAAACAAGATCTCTGATAAATGTTTGGAACAGCAAAAACAAGATCTCTGATAAATGTTTGGAATAGCCAAAACAAGATCTCTGATAAATGTTTGGAATAGCCAAAACAAGATCTCTGATAAATGTTTGGAATAGCCAAAACAAGATCTCTGATAAATGTTTGGAATAGCCAAAACAAGATCTCTGATAAATGTTTGGAATAGCCAAAACAAGATCTCTGATAAATGTTTGGAATAGCCAAAACAAGATCTCTGATAAATGTTTGGAACAGCAAAAACAAGATCTCTGATAAATGTTTGGAATAGCCAAAACAAGATCTCTGATAAATGTTTGGAATAGCCAAAACAAGATCTCTGATAAATGTTTGGAATAGCCAAAACAAGATCTCTGATAAATGTTTGGAACAGCAAAAACAAGATCTCTGATAAATGTTTGGAATAGCCAAAACAAGATCTCTGATAAATGTTTGGAATAGCCAAAACAAGATCTCTGATAAATGTTTGGAACAGCAAAAACAAGATCTCTGATAAATGTTTGGAACAGCAAAAACAAGATCTCTGATAAATGTTTGGAATAGCCAAAACAAGATCTCTGATAAATGTTTGGAATAGCCAAAACAAGATCTCTGATAAATGTTTGGAACAGCAAAAACAAGATCTCTGATAAATGTTTGGAATAGCCAAAACAAGATCTCTGATAAATGTTTGGAATAGCCAAAACAAGATCTCTGATAAATGTTTGGAATAGCCAAAACAAGATCTCTGATAAATGTTTGGAACAGCAAAAACAAGATCTCTGATAAATGTTTGGAACAGCAAAAACAAGATCTCTGATAAATGTTTGGAATAGCCAAAACAAGATCTCTGATAAATGTTTGGAATAGCCAAAACAAGATCTCTGATAAATGTTTGGAACAGCAAAAACAAGATCTCTGATAAATGTTTGGAACAGCAAAAACAAGATCTCTGATAAATGTTTGGAATAGCCAAAACAAGATCTCTGATAAATGTTTGGAATAGCCAAAACAAGATCTCTGATAAATGTTTGGAACAGCAAAAACAAGATCTCTGATAAATGTTTGGAATAGCCAAAACAAGATCTCTGATAAATGTTTGGAATAGCCAAAACAAGATCTCTGATAAATGTTTGGAACAGCAAAAACATTAAGATCTCTGATAAATGTTTGGAATAGCCAAAACAAGATCTCTGATAAATGTTTGGAACAGCAAAAACAAGATCTCTGATAAATGTTTGGAACAGCAAAAACAAGATCTCTGATAAATGTTTGGAATAGCCAAAACAAGATCTCTGATAAATGTTTGGAATAGCCAAAACAAGATCTCTGATAAATGTTTGGAATAGCCAAAACAAGATCTCTGATAAATGTTTGGAACAGCCAAAACAAGATCTCTGATAAATGTTTGGAATAGCCAAAACAGGATCTCTGATAAATGTTTGGAACAGCAAAAACAAGATCTCTGATAAATGTTTGGAACAGCCAAAACAAGATCTCTGATAAATGTTTGGAACAGCAAAAACAAGATCTCTGATAAATGTTTGGAACAGCAAAAACAAGATCTCTGATAAACGTTTGGAACAGCAAAAACAAGATCTCTGATAAATGTTTGGAATAGCCAAAATCAAGAATTCCATACTTGGAAAAGGCAAAACACATTTGACTTGTTGTAGGCCTGGTTGACTTCATTACCCCATATCCTGTAAAAATGTTTGTTTGCAATTAGCCTTTCCGAGTTCCCCCGCGCCTCTGTTTCAAAACGAGAGTAAGTGCTCAGTCTTTGATATGAAAATGATGTTTTATTCTCATTTTCATAAGAAAGATTGTGCACTTGGCCTCATTTTGAAAGTGAGGGTTTTTGAAACTCAAAAGTGGCCTATTCTGTTGATTGCACGCATGACTAGTACGCAATAAACTCATGCCCCCGATCACCAACACTTTGAGGTCTTAAGCTTTTCAGCTCACCCCAACAACGTATAATATTTATTACAAGTTGTACAGTTATCAAAACAAAACTTTGTAGGCCCAGGCGTACCGGTCTACATTGTATGGGGTGGCAACACCCCTGCCTGTGGGCAGGGCGTTGAATTGCTCTGGGGAGAGGTTTCAAAACTACTTGCTTTCGTGTGGATGGAAGACCGAGTTCATATAAAGTCATCAATGCAAGTAACCCTGGAGGATGTCTTTTAGGTTCAGAGCCCCTCTCCAATCTGGATTTTCAGAGCTGTTAACCCCTCTCCCTTGCGCAAGATTTTCCTGCGTGCCTTCCCTTGGGGGAGTGTGGATTTCCTGGAATAACCCAATACCAGTCTATTGTCAAGACCTGTCAAATTAATGTTCCATAATAATATTATTGATCATGACACACTGGAATTCATATGTGTTACAGATTTATTAGCCGAGGGACAAAATATGGGTTCCCCTAAAAACGCCTGCGTGCGAGGCTACAGATTTATCTGCTATAATTGTTATTCTATGTGCAGATAAATTCAATTGTACAGTCAAGACAGGCCAGAGTTAGCTTTAATACAAGTTGGTAAGTTAAAAATTGTAAATTGTAATAGTAATTTGTAAATTGTAATTTGTTTACCTATGGACCACTTTAAAGTTCTTAAGAACTCAATGAAACTTGTCCGTGCATTCCAGATCGAATTGGAATTTTGAAGTGTTGGTTTTTAAGGAGAGGGGAAAACCGGAGTACCTGTGAAGGAAAACCTCTTGGAGCAAGGGAGAGAACCAACAACAAACTCAACCCACGTATGGTATCGATGCCAAGATTCGATCCCGGGCCACATTGGTGAGAGGCCTGTGCTCTCACCAATGCGCCACCCTTGCTCCCTAATTCCTACATCTTCACAGTGAGCCACAGGCTAGCCAGTGATATAATTTAAGATAGGTGAAGTCTGAAATTTCCCTTTCAGGGTCAGCTCAGGAGCCTGTCAGGAAATTTTTTGCATGCATTGTTAATGATTGATATTAAATAACTATGTTTGATTTTGTGACTGTTTATTGCATTTTAAAGGCTTGAAGATTTACATGAAAAGATTGTGATGGAAACCATGGGTATGTGAAATTACATGTCTTTCTTGCGTGGATTGCAGATGAGTTAATGATACTCTTCTACATGTACACTGTATCATTTCTCACACACCTTTAATTCTCAGACATCCAGAAACATTTTTTGGGCTGTCCTCACCCAATGAAAGCAAACAGTCCATTTAATTCAGATTAACTTGTTGTCAACTATCAGAAGTTTCCTATACAGTCCAACCTCCATGTGCGACCACCTTTTGTAAGCGATGAACTACCTCCCATGAGCGAGCACTTATCTAAAAATACCAAAATTTTCTCAGTCAAAGCCTTATAGTTTGTACCTTTCATAAGCTACCACCTCTTGTAAGCGACCACGGCCACTTTTTAGAATGACGGGTTTATTGTTTTTAACCTGTTCTAAGCGACCACCTGATACAATGATCTGATCTTTTTTTTCATTGTATGTACAGTACTACGCTACTCAGATTATGAGAAGAACTTTTCGAAACAACATGGATTTATGTACATGTACAGTGTATATTGCTACCTAAAAATTGCATGTAATACATTCTCTCTAAAAATGAACTGTGTCCAGATGTCTCTTCGTAAAAGACCTCCTGCAGTTCGACTCTCGTAAGCGACCACTAACTCTTCTTATTTTGGATGGTCGTTTATGTGACGTTGGACTGCATGTGAAAGAATTCCAATGTTTTTAAAAATAAAAATCCTCCAAAATCTCCTCGTATCTCCTAGCACCTCCAAAATATCTTTGTCAAAGACCTCCTCCAAAATCTCCTCATAAAACACCTCCTAAAAAGCTTAAATCCTCCAAAAACGCCTCGTAAACGACACCCTGCTGTTCGACTCTCATAAGCAACCACTTCCCGTAAGCGGCAACTAACTTTTCGAATTTTGAGTGGTCATTTATGGGAGTTTGGACTGTATGTGCATAATTCCAATGTTTGGAAAAGCCAAAGTCCTGAATCACTTATGAGAGGGGTTCGACTGTATGTGCAGGAATTCCAATGTTTGGAAAAGCCAAAATCCTGAATGTCAGTGTTAGGAAAAGTCAAAATGTAGAACAGCAATGTGTTATTTTTTTGTTTGTTTGTTTTTATTCTAGCCAAACGCATCACTCCTCTTGTGTGTAATCCTGGACGCATCATGCTCACTTCATCCAGACTTTACTTTCAACCTTTTAACAACGCAGACCCAGTAAGTTGTGGATCTTTAATCTTTATGTATTCCTGGTTGTGATGTAACTGCTGTTGGTCAGATACGAAGTACCACAAAAGTTGATTTACTCCCTAAGTACTTATATCCTTCCTCCAGACTTTTCATTTGAGGAGTCTAACACAAACATACCGCTGTGGTACAACTTTTTTTTTTCTGCATTTTAAAACTTTACGTACAAAATTTAATGATTTTTGTTTGAATACCCTAACGCAGTGTTTGCTTTGTGCAGAAGTTTCTCTAAACTGTAACTTGTAGGAAGGTGTGTCCTGGTGCCAACGGAAAAGCCCCCTGGAAGTTTCGAAAACGAAGACCGAAGCACGAAGCACCAAATCTCGAGAACGAAGCACCCAAAACTCGAAAACGAAGCACCCAAAAACTCGAAACCGGTCTGTCCTTTATAAACACGAGACTAGTCAGGTGTGAGAAAACCGCAAACACTAACGGAAATTGATTTTCCTTTTGTTGTAGTTGAAATTTTGTATGAATTTTAATGGGTTGCTTACACGTTGTTGTAGTTGAAAAATATTATTGTTCGTTAGATGCCATTTGATTTTTTTTATGCTTTTTATCTATTTCAACCGGCTGCGCCGCCTCACTGAATAATAAAAAACGCAGCACTAATGAGGACAAGTTTTAAGAGTGAGATTTGTTTTTTAACACTTTCACCACTGATCACGTTGCCTTTTTCACAGCTCTGCAATTTTTTAAATTATTGCGCAAGTTAGATCAGTCTCGCTGAGTCTCCTGTCGGTATGCGCTGAGTAGAACTTTGATTATGGAGTTTAAAGTGCCTCTTGTCAAACCAAGAACAACTGTTGATTGCTCTGGACTACCAGTTTACGACTTTTCAAAATTGTTTAACAAAGAGGAGATAGGAAAAGGTGCGTATGGAGCAGTTCTCACAGCAGACTACCCTTTCAATGGTATCGACACGACGACAAGGGTCAAGAGTTGCGAGTTTTGGGTGCTTCGTTTTCGCGATTTAGGAGTCTTCGTTGTCGAGTTTTGGGTGCTTCGTTTTCGAGTTTTGGGTGCTTCGTTTTCGAGATTTGGGTGCTTCGTGCCTCGGTCTTCGTTTTCGAGTGCTTCGTTTTCGAAACTACCCCCCCCCCCCTGCCGACATTTTGATGGTCTCAGGATGTTCGTTTTAATCTAGGGACTGCTGAATGTTCTAACGTGTTTTTTAGTAATACCAAACATTTCCTTGTCCTCCACAGTGTCCAGTTGTTAAATGCAAACTATCCAAGATATGCAGAGTTGTCAAAAGAAGATATCTTCTCAGACATGTGGTGTGTTTATCTTATTCAATTTAAATTGATACTCTCCGAAGTGTTTCGTTATAATTCAAAGATCCAGATTGAATGGAGCGTTTTCTCTCACGTGGCTAGCATCTATGTAAATTTTTTGGAACAAATGAAAGCTTTTGCATAAGAAAAGAGTTCAACTCCCACAGGATTGGTTTGGAGCACCAATCGCTGCCATTTCATTGTCTTGAAACACCAATATGGCCGCCGTGACGTCATGTGAAACCGCTCTACGAGCCATTTAATTGCACGGTGGCATCATTTTACTACTTCTGTGCAAAATAGGATTTTGGTTAGTTAAACCTCACTGGGATTACCAAATTTAAACATGAAAGAAAGACCAAAATGAATTCCGGTCTTTATTAGCAAAAAATACGTCATTGTTTCAAATGGCGTATTAGAATTTGAAATTTTGAGTTTTTGAAGAGATGAGGAAACCGGTGTAACTGGAGAAAAACTGCTCTCGGAGCAAGAGAAAGAACCATGAACAGACCACATGTTGCCTGAACTCAGGTCACATTGGTGGAAGGCGAATTCTCTTACCACAGCAATGCGCCAGGCTTGCTTCCCATGTGTCTGCTTTCTCTCGTGGCCGCCATAAATTATTCTAGGCCTTGAGCTTAAGTTATTAATGTCTTTTTGTTTCATCCTTCTTGTTCCTAGGGTGTGGAGGTATTTTCAACCGATGGATCTCATATGTACTTGATATTCAATTCTCCAAAAGAAAGAGATTTATTTTATGAACAAATTGTTCAGCAGCCAGGTATGCGAGTTTATACCAAAAACGCGGGGTTTGTGCTCTGCATTGAAAAAAAAAACCGAACAATAATAAATTATACTATTAAAGGGTTGTAAACAGTTTAGGAAAATAAAACTTACGAAATATTTCCTTTTATGTCCCGGTTCCTCACCGTAAGATATTTCTCATTTCGGTGTCCTTTTTTAAAAATATGGAAACTTCCTTTTATATGTTAGCAGTAATGCAAGCCTTAACTTAAACATACTTATATCATACTTGCAAGACATGATAATATCTAGTGATACGTGTTTTGACGACCACCATTTATGCATCGCTTTTTGAAAAATCTTTGTAGAAGTTGAGTTGGAGGACACGAGACAAGAGAATATGACGTTAAGATGGCAAAATGGAGCAATATCAAATTTTGAATATCTAATGTACCTAAATAGGTTGGTATTTATTTTGTTTTATTCTAAGTACAACAATTATCGTGACAAAAGAATCTATTTTGGAGTAACTACATTGTCAGTTTTACTCACTAGACACAGGTGCTTATCCTGATAAGACATGTGTGAAGAGAATAGGGTGTCACTTAACACACTGCAAGCTTTAGTGTAGCTCATATTTTATTTTGGCATTATTCGATAGGAGTTTAGTGATGTTGATCTTAAGTACGGGCTGAATATTTTATTAATGGCCTGTTTACATGGAGGTGGGGGACACAAGGTAGGTAAGGTAACCAGCTTAGGTGGGGTAAGCTGCCTGTCCACATAATCTCTCATTTTAATTTGATCACGTTTACATGATAAGTGGAGTGACCTGCCGCGGATTACCTCACCTTTCTGGAATCCCCCCCTCCATGTAAACTGGCCCTTAGTTTGCTCCATTCTTCAGTTTTTTGGCTACAAAATCTTCGCCCTATGTAACGTAACACAAGACGGTGTTGGGTTCTGGATTCCACGCTATGGATCCCTTTGTCAGTGGAATGGATTCCGGATTAAAATCTTTAGCGGGATTCCACACTCCTTGAGCTGAATTCCGCATTCCAGCATTTCACATTCCACTTGTAAAAATTTCTTGGATTCCGGAATACGAATTAGCTTACATGGTGAAAAAATCTAGAATCTGTTCAGGGTTAAGTTGCTACCATTTTCAATCTGTTCCTTTTTTCAGTTTAGCAGATAGAAGTTTTAATGATCTAACACAGTACCCAGTATTCCCTTGGATACTGGCAGATTACAAAAGTGAAGAGTTAGGTAAGATGTCATTGATAAAAAGGTGGTTTAGACTTAACATTTTAGCTACCATTTAATCAAAGGAAAACATATTTTTAGGGCCTCTGCGATGCAATGATTCTCCAGCCGTGGGAGGCTGTGGCATTTGACTACCAACAAAGTGTATTTCCTCAACACTGTGTTTTATGGCGAATGATCCCGTGTGCCCTCTAACGACTACGTGATAAGCACATTTACTTCAATTAGAACGTGTGAATACAACTGCCTCTCTCTTACTCCTCGTCGTTCAAACGGGACGTCTTTCTCGCGAAACGTCCTCAATGACGGGGAGCGATGAGAGCTAGCTGCATTCGCAAGCTACATCAAGCTACATCAATATTAAGGACTTTTAAAAACGATAGAACTGTTACCCTATTTGTCCAGGGAGAGGAAATGGCGTTGAGCAACAGAGGAGAGGGTTTGTTGATCGTGATTGTTTTGGAAGTGACTGAGTCATCGACTTCAGCTTGCCACCTGTTCGCGGCTCGCCGCTCTGTTCTCGGTGTAAGAGCGCCCTATGAGTCTAGCAGGCACTTGAAAAGGAATGAAAAAGTGTTTTAATCGGTAGCTTCTTGCTTTCTCGCCCAACCGCGCGGAATGTGTATTCGGCTTCTGCACTTTTTTGTAGTTTTAAATTCGGAATTTCGGTAACTGTAAAGAGATTGACAGACTTGAGAACAACATTACTTCTTTTTTCTGTCCCGTGTAGATCTGGAAAGTCCGGAAACATTCCGAGATTTATTCAAGCCCATAGGAGCCCTAAACGAAACCAGACTAGCACAGTTAAAGGTATGACTGAGAGGCACGTGATTGCTTTTATTTGAAGAGTGGTTTCGTTTTGTGATCCCTTTGGCTTTCCATTGCTACTCTTCGAGATTGGTTAAATAAAATTTCGTTTCATTTTTTCAACCAATCAGAAGTAAACCAGTCATGACTTGCTCACGTGATTCCCGCGTTTGACGCCCGGCTATGTGTGTTTGCTTCGAGATCTTGCAAACCAAAAGTAGTTAGAAAAACTGCAGTGTGTTCCGTGCTGTCTGAGAGTGTGTTGAAGATTTTGGAGTACTGAGATAAGATGCAATGGTTATCATTTGCTTATTACCAAGATTATTCTTACAGTCAATTTGTTCCAGTACTGACCTGTTTTCCCGACCTGTTATTCTTGTTTTGTAACACCATGTTACACTTCTTATTTTTAGGAGAGATGTAAGGAAATGCCTGATCCCAAGTTTTTATATGGCTCGCATTATTCCACTCCAGGATACGTATTGTATTACCTTGTTAGAGTTGGTAAGATATTGAAGATGTGGTTAACCCCTGGGAGATAAGGCCAGGCAAATAGTCCATTTCCGAGTTCCCCCGGACCTCTGTATCTAAACAAGGTTAAGTGCTCAACATTTGATATGGAAATGTTTTTCATTCTCACTCAAATAAAACTCATTTTCACAAGAAAGGTTTTGCACTTGGCCTTCTTATCTTTAACGAAAACTTTCCTCGCGACTCGTGACGTTACAGTTACATACAGATTAAAGGAAACGTTACTTTTCTTTGTTGTTGTTTTGTGGAGTCTGAGAATCGGCGTTGTCGATGGGTTGGGCTAATTGCCGGGCAAAAGATATCTTCAGTTTTAATGTGCAAACGAAACCTTCAAGTAGCACACAATTCGTATCGCTTCCACTTGTTTTGTATACGACTTGAGAGGCCTTGTCGAAAGCCTGGTCAGTGGTTGCCCAAGCTATAGCAAGAAACAAACAAGCAAACCAAAAAAATGTTATTGTCTTGGTTTGTCGGCTGATCATGAATTAATGTAATCGGGATCCACTTTCAACAAACTAATTTGTATAGGCGATTCACATAACTAATTTCGTCTTATGACCCGTTCACGCGATATCGAGTGGCGAACAACGACGAATCTGTTCATGTGGATCGCCTAAAAAATTAGTGCGTTGAAAGTGGATCCCGATAATATTAACGTTTTCTTTTTCTATTGACATAACATGAAATCAACTCTCTTTTATTAATTGTTAAAAACCGTGTTTCATTTTTGTTCAAAGCTCCGGAGTTCATGCTCTGCTTACAAGGAGGAAAGTTTGATCAGCCCGACAGATTGTTTAACAGGTGAAAACATTAAAAAGTTCATCTGAGTTGTCAGTCCATGTTCTGAAAAGATTGTACTTCTACAAGCAGAGCTCGAAAAAAACTTGAATTCCAACGTCAGTCTTTTGGGCAAGCAGCTCCCCCTTTTTGCTTGCCCGCCCGCCACTTCTTACTCGTCTTCGTCAATGCTTTTGTTAGAAGATAACTTCCCAGGGGCGCGTTTCTCGAAAGGCCTAGTAATTTTTCCGGCCCGAAAGCAAATTTTAAAATTAAAACCTGTTGAATTGTAGCAGTTCCTAGCTCACAAGCCATTCAATTTTGCTTCGTTAACTGATAGTTTCCATTTATCATTTTTAAAGTCGTTGAAACTTTGATCTTGAATGCTAACCCGGCAAACAAAAAGCAGCTTTCCGGGCCAGAAAACTTACCGGGACCTTCGAGGAACGGGCCCCTGGACCTTTGTCCATTAGCGAAGTAACTTAACCAATAAGGAAATCTACGTGTCCCTTACTAACGGATGGGACTTTCATTGAGCCCTGCATAATCTTATCAGTCCATTTGAGTGTTTATAATTATCGTGTTTTTGGTAAATTTTTCAGTGTTGCTGAAACGTGGGAGAATGTGTTGACGGGACATGCAGATGTCAAAGAGGTTGGTATATATTTATGCTAAATGAAAGCCCGGGGGGGGGGGGGTACTCAACGAAGTCCGCCCCGAAGTCCAACCCCTTTCCCTTTCATATACCTTTTTTGACGGGAAAGGTACCCCTTTGACATTATACCTTCTTTAGAACCCTGCTTCCCTTTTAATGGCTGTAAATACACCGTCTGTTTAACATGAATTATTTCAGCCCTACCAAACGTTTTCTTGGCTCCTTCACATCCATAAAATGCGTCTGTAAACCCTTTGTGGTACTTTTACAGACCGAAATAAAAGATTTCCGGGTCAATTTAGGTCTCTGGGAAACTGCCCACCTACCCCTACCCTAAGCCACCATTTTGTCCTAAGTGAGAAATAAGTGTTAATGTTAGCTTAAGGGAGGGGTAGGTGGGCAGTTTCCCAGAAACCTAAATTCATCCGATTTCGCTACCCATTCTTTTACACGAATCCTGATAAAGGTACCACAGGCCATTATAGAGAGTACTCCCCTCGCCCCGGCAATGAAAGTGGCTGGCTGTTTTATCTTGCACGGATTAATAATCTTCTCGTGTAATTTTACAACAGCTGATTCCAGAGTTCTTCCAGTCGTCGGGCGAATTTTTGTTAAACAGTCAAAACCTTCCACTGGGCTGTAAACAGGACAAGACAAAAGTTATGGACGTTGAACTGCCTGTCTGGGCAAAAGGTAGTAAGAGAAGTGAAATCCCAATGAATCGTTCCTTCTCATACGTAATACTGTTTGTTCTCAAGGCAACCACGAGTCATTACCATGGCTATTATCATGGCTCTTTCAGTTTTGAACTCTTTAACCGTTTTACTCAAAAAAGTGGTCAAAGAATAAAGTTCACTAAAAATCCTGACAAATATTTAGTACCATGTAAAAGTACTATTGAAGAGGTTTCATTTGACTGGTCAAATCATGGGATTTGATCCACAGATTCAAAAGTTAGAACTCACTAAAAATACCGTACCATGTGAAAGTACTGCTGACGAGGATTCATTTGAATGGTAACACTACAGGATTTCATCCACAGATTCAAAAGGTAAAACAACATGACAAATAAACTGTAGCGTGAAAGTTCTGCAGAAGAGGTAACATATGAATGGTAACAGGATTTCATCTGCAGACTCAAAAGTTAGAACTGCATACTAAATAAATAGTATCATGTCAAAGTACTGCTGAAGAGGTTTCATTTAAATGGTAACACCACAGAATTTCATCCACAGACTCAAGAGTTAGAACTACATACTAAGTAAATAGTATCATGTGAAAGTACTGCTAAGAGTTAGTGCGACAAATAATCTAGCTGCAACCACTCCGGTAGACTTGCCACAAGTCGACTGGCTTGTTCTGCATTTGCTCTTATTATTATTGGCCTATTTATACATTATTGTCTTACTGTGGGATTTCGGTGATGTAATTTCACACATTTATTATTGAATTGTTTCATGTAGATGCCGAGGATTTCATCAGAAAGAACCGAGACGCACTTGAATGCCAGTATGTTTCAGAAAGATTACACCACTGGGTAGACCTGATCTTTGGGTACAAACAAAGAGGGCACGAAGCGTGGAAAGCAGACAATGGTAATTTGTTCTGGGGGAGGAGACAGGGGGTCCAAACCTTCCGCCATCCGTACCTTACATTCCCGACCCCCGCCCTTTAATCCTTTAGCCCCTTTTCGATTCCGAAATATGAAGCATTTTTTGTGTAATTTCTCCTTACTTCCCCCATTTCCCACCCTTTTAGCACACCCACCTCCCACTCTTCCCCGCCCCGTTTTCTCCCGGGCTCCCACTCCACCTGTCCCCCCTCCCACCTCTAATAAATGCAGTCAACTTACTTGTTCAGCGGTATTGACCATTTGGTAGGATGCGCAGAAACCTCGACAAAATTCATCCCCCAAGCCACTTTCATAGTGCCTGTCAACATACCATCAACCCAGTGTAGAACGCAAACTCCAAATGGCCAAGTAATATTCAACTACAGAATAAGTAGGTGGCTCTTCCAGCTTGACAGAAGCAAAATACATAAAGTAAAGACTCTGTGAAACCTCAGAGCTTGAAATGGGAGGGCGGGGAGGGGGGAGGGGATTTATGAGATGAGTGTTGTAGCTAGAAATGTTCTTTTTTCATTCCAGTGTTTTACTACTTGACATATGAAGGAGCTGTCAACCTTGACGGGTAAGATACACTGTGTGTTGTGAACCTAAAATCCAAACAAATAATGAAGTAAACTAAGGAATCAAGTAAGAACGAATTTAAAAAAGGAAAAACAAAATTGATAAATAAAAACAAGTCAACTACATACTAGCTAACGGAGAAAATGACAAGCAAACTAATAAACAAAACACGTAACGAACTTAACTTGTAAGGAAGTTATTATAACTAAGATCACCCTTCGAGCAGATGCTACATTTTTGCGGTGTGGGCTCACAGCGCGAAAGTGTCGTCACTGCTCGCAGGGTAAACCAAGATACACTCTAAACAGCTGATTGACTGGCAAACAAGTAAACAATCAAAGTAATAAAATAGTGGCAAGCAGTCATCGTAACTAAACAAACTAGCTAACAGACAAGCTAACAAAACAACAATGCAACAGTAGCAGCTTTTTAAGAACTTATTAGAAAGCTGAGCCTGTGTTGCAGGCGTTTCACGGAGAAGGAAAGGAGGATTTAAAGCGCACGAGTACACGAGGGACGCGCGAAGGAGGGAGAAGGAAGGAAACCTTCTTCCTCGCGCGCTTATCGCGTTCTTGCGTGCCTTAATTCGCCTTTTCCGTTCGAAAGCTGAACATTAGTGTTCTTTTCTACTGCAGAATTGACGATCCAAATGAACGTGCATCGTTAGAAGCTCAGATTCTTGAATTTGGTCAGACTCCTAAGCAGTTGTTTACAAGCCCTCATCCACAGAAACTGGTAAATGATTTTTTTTTTTAAGTTTTTCTTTCTACTTGTTGCGTGTCTTGCAGTGCACCATAACGGAAGTGCGCTTTTTGTTTGTATACTAGGTCACAGGGGTGAGTCCTAACGCAAGCACCAACCCCTCCCCCATAAGTAGCAGTGTGCTAAATGGAGAGAGTTCGAGCCAAACGGATACTGAGAGTGAAGTTAGTGTACCAGTCATCAAAGTCAACGGTATGTACCTTCACTATAACAAAAATGTTCGAACGGAGAAACGTTAGAAAGAAATATGCCAGGAAACTTTTTCCGGCCCTACATTTTCAGTATACCGTCCAAAAATCTTCTGAATGATGGTCAATTTCGCGTTCTCAAGAAGTGCCACAGGAAATTTGACTGCCTCGTTTACGAAATGTTGTTCATCAAAGAACTTTGGCCTCTGAGTGACTCCATCAGTGTTAATCTCTTTGTTTAACTTTTTTGTAACACATTTTTATATGTTACTTCTCTGTCTAAGCGAACTATTGTTTTCCTTGTATTTATAGAACATTCATACTGTATTTTTTCCTTCATAATGACGTCAGAGAACGTCGAAACGTCGTATAGTTTTAACTTTCAGTTTTTACGCACTTTTTTACAGCTAAACATTTATATCGACAGATAGACAAATTTCAGTATAATTACGCATCTTTGCAATGGATCGGTAGATCGGTGGATCTGCGGTAGAACACTAGAACGGTGGATCTGTAGATCAACGGAGCGGTAGATCTGTAGATCCATAGATCGGTGGATCGCTAGGTCAGTGAAGTTGTAGATCAATGGATCATCAGTAGATCGCTAGATCGGTGGGTCTCTGGTAGATCGCTAGAACGGTGGGTCTGTGGTAGATCGGTGGATCTGTAGATCAATGGATCAGTAGATCTGTAGTTTGGTGGATCGCTAGATCGGTGGATCTGTAGATCTGTAGATTAACGGATCAGTAGATCTGTAGATCGGTGGACTGCTATATCGGCAGATCTGTAGATCGATGGATCATCAATAGATCGCTAGATCAGTAGATCTGTGGTAGATCGCTAAATCGATGGATCGGTAGATCGCCAGATCTTTGGAGCTGTAGATCAATGGATCATAACTAGATCGCCAGATCGGTGGATCTGAGGTACATCGCTAGATCGGCCGATCTGTAGATCGATGGATCGCTAGATCGGTGCATCTCTAGATCGATGTATCAGTGGATGTTTACATCAATGGATCAACAGCAGACCCTTGGATCTGTAGATCAATGGATCAGTAGATCCAAAAGTTGGTCGATCGCTAGATCGGGGGATCTGTAGACCGATTGATCGGTAGATCACTAGATCGGTGGATCTGTAGATCAACGGATCAGTAGATCTGTAGATCAGTGGATCGCTAGATGGGGGAGTCTGAAAGATCAATGGATCATCAGTACATCGCTAGATCAGTGGATCTGTAGATGAGTAGATCAGTCCGTCTGTAAATCGATGGATCGGTGGATCTGTGGTAGATCGCTAGAACGGTGGATCTGTCGTACATCGCTAAATCGATGGATCGGTAGATCGCTAGATCTGTGGACCTGTAGATCAATGGATCATCACTAGATCGCTAGATCGGTGAATCTGTAGATCGATGGATCGGGCAATCGCTAGATCGGCTCATCTTTAGATCAATGGATCAACATTAGATCGGTGGATCTGTAGATCAATGGATCAGTAGATCCTTAAGTTGGTGGATCGCTAGATCGGGAGGTGTGTAGATCAATGGATCATCAGTCGATCGCTAGATCGGTGGATCTATAGATCAATAGATCAGAAGTTCTGTAAATCGATGGATCGGTGGATCGCTAGAACGGTGGATCTGTAGTACATCGCTAAATCGATGGATCGGTAGATCGCTAGATCTGTGGACCTGCAGATCAGTGGATCGTCTCTAGATCGCTAGATCGGTGGATCTGTAATAGATCGCTAGAACGGTGCATCTGTAGATCAATGGATCGGTGGATCTGTAGATCGATGGATCGGTAGATCGGTAGATCGATGGATCGGGTAATCGCTAGATCGCTTGATGTTTAGATCAGTGGATCAACAGTAGATCGGTGGATCTAAAGATCCATGAATCAGTAGATCTGTAGTTTGGTGGATCGCTAGATCGCTGGATCTATAGACCGCTGAATTGGTGGATCTGTAGACCGATGGATCGGTAGATCACTAGATCGGTGGATCTGTAGATCAACGGATCAGTAGATCTGTAGATCAGTGGATCGCTAGATAGGGGGATCTCTAGATCAGTTGATCATCAGTAGATCGCTAGATCGGTGGATCTGTAGATCAATAGATCAGTAGCTCTGTAAATCGATGGATCAGTGGTTCTGTGCTAGATCGCTAGAACGATGGATCAGTAGATCGCCAGATCTGTGGAGCTGTAGATCAATGGATCATCACTAGATCGCTAGATCGGCGGATCTGTTGTAGATCGCTAGATCGGTGGATCTGTATATCGATGGATCGGGCAATCGCCAGATCGGCTGATCTTTAGATCAATGGATCAACAGTAGATCGGTGGATCTGTAGATCAATGGATGAGTAGATCCTTAAGTTGGTGGATCGCTAGATCGGAAGGTCTGTAGATCAATGGATCATCAGTAGATCGCTAGATCGGTGTATCTATAAATCAATAGATCAGAAGATCTGTAAATCGATGGATCGGTGGATCGCTAGAACGGTGAATCTGTAGTACATCGCTAAATCAATGGATCGCTAGATCGCTAGATCTGTGGACCTGCAGATCATTGGATCGTCACTAGATCGCTAGATCGGTGGATCTGTGGTAGATCGCTAGATTGGTGGATCTGTAGATCAACGGATCAGTAGATCTGTAGATCGGTGGATCCCTAGATCGGGGAATCTGTAGATCAATTGATCATCAGTAGATCGCTAGATCGGTGGATCTCCAGATCAATAAATCAGTAGATCTGTAAATCGATGGATCGGTGGATCTGTGCTAGATCGCTAAATCGATGAATGAGTAGATCGCTAGATCTGTGGAGCTGTAGGTCAGTGGATCATCACTAGATCGCTAGATCGGTGGATCTGTGGTAGATCGCTAGATCGCTGGATCTGTAGATCAATGGATCGCTAGATCGGTGGATCTGTAGATCGATGGATCGGGCAATCGCTAGATCGGCTGATCTTTAGATCAATGGATGAACAGTAGATCGGTGGATCTGTAGATCAATGGATCAGTAGATCCTTGAGTTGGTGGATCGCTAGATCGGGAGGTCTGTAGATCAATGGATCATCAGTAGGTCACTAGATTGGTGAATCTATAAATCAGTAGATCAGAAGATCTGTAAATCGATGGATCGGTGGATCGCTCGAACGATGGATCTGTAGTACACCGCTAAATCGATGGATCGGTAGATCGCTAGATCTGTGGACCTGCAGATCAGTGGATTGTCACTAGATCGGTGGATCTGAGGTAGATCGCTAGAACGGTGCATCTGTAGATCAATGGATCGCTAGATCGGTGGATCTGTAGATCGATGGATCGGTAGATCGGGGAATCTGTAGATCAATTGATTATCAGTAGATCGCTAGATCGTTGGATCTGGAGATCAATAGATCATTAGATCTGTAAATCGATGGATCGCCGGATCTGTGCTAGATCGCTAGAACGATGGATCTGTGGTACATCGCTAAATCGATGGATCAGTAGATCGCTAGATATGTGGAGCTGTAGATCAGTGGATCATCACTAGATCACTAGATCGGTGGATCTGTGGTAGATTGCTAGATCAGTGGCTCTGTAGATCAACGGATCAGTAGATCTTTAGATCGATGGATCGCTAGATCAGTCGATCTGTAGATCAATGGATCATCAGTAGATCGGTGGATGTGTAGATCAATGGATCAGTATATCTCTAGTTTTGTGGATCGCTAGATCGGTGGATCGGTCGATCGATGGATCGGTAGATCGTGGATCTGTATATCAGCGGATCTGTAGATCTTGAGAGCGAAAAATCGGTGGATCTGTAGATCGATGGACGATCAGTAGATCGCTAGGTCGGTGGATCTGTAGATGAGTGGATAAGTAGATCTGTAAATCGGTGGATCGCTAGATCGATAGTCTGTGGTTGATCGCTAGAGCGGTAGATCCGTAGAGGGGTTGGGAGAATTCGAGACAGTTGTGCAAACCCGAGACGAACTCGAGGGTTTGCATAACTGTCGACAATTCTCCCAACGCCTCTCGTGTTTATATCAGGCTATGAAAACACAGGGAAAAAGTTTTCTATTGCTTTTATAAAATAGCTTTCCCGAGAAAAGACGCAAAACTCTTTGTATGGCAGTGATTACAAGAGAAATTCTTACCAGTCGCAAAGTCTTGTCCACGAGGTCTTGCACGCGTAATCAGTTCTTGTTTTGCAAAAACATGCTTTCCAAAATACGGACTCTTCTCGCTTAAAATGTCAGCTTAAGCGAAAAAGAATTGACACACTTTCTTTATAACGACTTTTAAACTTGAAAACTTTTTCAAATTCGTGCTTGCGTGATTAGCGCGCGAAAAGCAAAACATCTTGACGCCACAACCATGTTTACATACTCTCATGCAAACACTCCTATCAGCCAATCAGAGCGCGCGTACTATCTTAGTTATTTTATAAATATATATATACATATATATATATATATGTTGTGTAAAAAAACGGTACCGTAAGAAAGCTGTTTTTTTACACTGATATATATTTGTAAAAAAACAGCTTTTTTACAAAAACATATTTTGTAAAAAAACGGTCCTACACTAAATGTTGCTGGCGAATTCAGCTAGTGTTCATATTAAAGTTGTTTAGCCTTTACAAGTGTTTTCGGGCTTATTTCTCGATCTCTAAAATAAAACACGCATTGCCGTACGTTACAGACCGCCTTTATAGTCCCTAATTGTTATAAACAAATCGGCTGCTGTTTTTATGGCCTTATAAAGTTGCTCTGTGTATTGCAAAAATTAGACTAACAAGCGAGTGTATGTACGCTTGTAGCTATAGACTAGTATTTCCTTTTGCTTGATTAGCCGACTGAACATGTTCCTACATCATGTTGAAAGCTTAAAGTAGTATTAAAACGCAGACATGACAATCTTGCATGCATCAACATGGATTTCAACATAGCATGAATCCCGTGACAGAAGTTTAGCGCATCATACATAATACAGGAAATTGCCTAACAATTGCTGTCGTTGATTCTTGCTGGAGATTTTATGCTAGAAATGGAGTTAAAATTTATTTATCCACTGCTAAGAGCACCAAAGCATTATAGCCAAGTATTTTGTTGACAGTTAAACCGATCATTGCAGCTGATAACCTTGGGAAAATAGATAAATAATACAGAACAATATTCTGTACAGTTTTCGGCTTGAACAAAAGTAGCAATGAAGGAGAGAATAGAAGTCTTTGGTTGCTGCAAGAGATTGTGACAGGCATTGCTTATAAATAAGACAGTGAATAACCCAGCTATTCTATTATTGCCTAACATGCAGTTACTGCCGTGGGTGACCTCAGCCGATAAGCATAACAAATGAAATTACTGCCTGTTCCTTCTTCGCATCCAACAATTAGAAGGTCCTGGAAAATTGAATGACAAAGGAAACAAGCAGAAATAATAAAAAGAATAAAAAGAACGTAAATTTTTAACGCTGTCAGCGAGTTAACAAGGGAATTTAAATGCCCCACAATAAAGGGGACACGGGAACGTGAACGTGACTAGCCGCACGAAAACTACAGTTCAATAAATTTCGAACCATGCTATGGAAAACAGCCTGTCTTCGATAAATGAGTTTGTCAAATGGTCTATACGTGTAAAATAGCAGGATTTTTACATAAAAAAGGCAGCTTTCTTACAAAAATACCTTTTGTAACAAAACAGATTTTTTACATAAAAAAGCAGTATTTTTACGACCAAGTAACTTGTAAAAAAGCAGCTTTTTTACGTAAAAAAGCAGTATTTTTACGACCAAGTAACTTGTAAAAAAGCAGCTTTTTTACGTAAAAAAGCAGTATTTTTACAACCGCTCAATTTGTAAAAAAGCAGCTTTTTTACATAAAAATGACGCTTTTTTACAAGGACCGTTTTTTTATGCAACATATATATATATATATATTTAAAGTGGTGTACTGAAGCTATGTTGATTTTGTCTTATTTTCAGTTGATTTTGATGACGGGTTTAACCACAATCACCCACAATGGACAAACATGGAAAAACTACAGCAGACAACATGCCACAAACTGCACAAAGAGTGAGTCACTCCTTCACGAATGTTCAGAAATGACATTATTACTTTCCTTCTAGCTCGGCTCAAGTCTTTTCTATTGTCTATTTAGCACTCAGGCTTTAATTTTTTTCCTCAGTTCTTCATTTTATTCTATTTGTTGTCCTTTTAAAGAGCTGTCTCATTGCACGTTGGACGCTCTGTTGGAGTTTGTGTCTTCTTCATCACTTGTCTTTCACACCTTACTTCTCAGTTCCATGTGTGGTGAATCTTTTCTAACTGACATCTTTACGCGCAAAAGACTTGTTTTCTTGTCGAATTCAATGCGTACTCTTTCCCTTGTATTCGTAAAAAGGTATTCAGGTTAATAAAGATAGTAAACAATTGTTCACAAATGTTCTATCCATGAAAGATTTAATTTTTGTTGACATTGATGCCAATTGTGATTTAGATCAGATGGTAAATGAATTAAACTGAATGACCAACGAAAGTTATGTTAAGATTAGTACCAGTTGAGGTAAATAATTTAACCCAACTTATTGAGCAGTCTTTCTAAAATTTAATCCGGTAAATCTAAATCAAAACATTTTGGCAAAAAAAACATTTTACGCTCAAGACGAGCTAGTCGAAATTTCTGCTTCCTTTAACTAAATAAATATTAAAAAACAAGTCTCGCCAAACTTTAATTTATCGCTAAGCAACTTTAGTGAGAAAAACAGTGGGCTCAAAAAGATCTTCCGTATTTCCCCGAATGTGATGTTACACTGTATGTATGTTAACCAAATGTGTCCTATATAGGGAAGCTTCTTCTCCTTCTTCTTCTTGTTCTGTGAATGTCAATATAACCAACAGTCCGCTTACTCAACACCGAAGGTTTGTGTTCTAAAAATATAACGTACAGCCATGCATGAACCAAGTTTAGTTAACATTTTGTACTTTTTTAAATAAATCCATGTAATCCACCCAGAAGCCTTTGATTAATAAGACTAGAGCAGTGGTAAAACAGCTAAAATATCAAACTACTGCGAACTGTCTTGATCTTTTACTCTTCGAAAACAGTTATTGCTATTAACAATTAATATCCAAATTTCTTTTTACAACCGCGAAATAAATATATCAAACGAAACTGCTGGAAAAAGGAACTGTAACGAAGGAGAAAATTAATAAACACCGTGACAATTTTTCCTTCTTCTTTTCTTTAGCCTGTGTAGCTGGCGGTTTTGACGGAGAGCGCGCGCGAAGTGGCGGGGAAGCCGCCTTTTCCCCATTCCCCTCGCTGCCAGTTACCCAGGCTACCTCTTCTTTTGCTCCTCACGTAGTCGTTTATAGGGAAAGCGTATTACCCTCCTCCCAGCAAACAGGCAATCAAGCTTCCCCTACAAAGAACTGCATAAGAAACTGCCTGTTCTTTTCTCAAGCTTTTTTTTCTTGTGTCGTGCAAGCTTTTTTTTTTTTCTTGTATCGTGCATCATTTAATACTATATTCCTAGATCCCCTTTGTACTTGCTCTCGGGCCCCTGTTGTACATAACTTATCAGAGTTCCCAAATTTTATGTTCAAAATGTTTTTTTAAATACTTCTGCATTGTGATTGGAACACCACAGGGCGTGGTCTGCCAATTTTAGATCAGCGAAGTTGTGCGGTTGTATTTTATCCTGTTCCGTTTTTTGGTGTGTTATTATTTCTCATATTCTTCTTATACGATCCTTTTTTTAGCACGGTGACATCTGTCAGATTATCGAAGGATTGCAAGAATGTCTTTTCTGTTTCTCAAGGTAACAAATCCGAAAACTACACATCGGTTTGCTTTTTTTCTCAGCATGTATTAAATGCGTTTCAAGACATGAAATCTGTTAAGCGTGCTGAAATATATATGCCTTTCTTGGCTTAATACCTTGCCGCATTTTGGCGAAATTAAGAGTAATCAATGAAAGTGAAGACGTACGTAAGAGACAATCTCTGGAGTCTTTGTTATAATTATTGTAATTGGGTATTTCTCGTTTCTGATAAAAAGCTGTTTCTCTTGCTTTACAGACACACAACTTAAGATGTTCTCGATAGAAACCAGAAAGCAAGTTAGGGGAATCAATCTTTCATCAATGGTAGGTTTGTTTTGTTCTATGATCAAGGTAAACCAGTAGGAAAATTATGCAATGTGCTGTGTGACGCACTGGTCTTGTTTTCGTTGATCTTACGCTTTACGCTGCTTCTCCCTTTAGTTCTGCTGCGTCGATTTGAGAGGCAGGGAAAGTATTTCTTGTTGTTTCATAATTCGTGTCAATGAGGAATTGACGGTGTTGAGGGAAAAGAAATACCGTTTCCCTACGGATTACCTTTAAACTGTTTAATAAAAGAACAGATGCAGAAAAGGGTTAGGCGCTGTAGATGCCACGAAGTTTTAAAAGTGAAATAAGAGGAAATGCCAATTGACTTACAATCCTTTTTTTTGTCCTTTTCTGAAGGCTCTTTCATCCTGTGCCATTATGCCAGACTCCAAAACGATAATAGTGGGATCCTGGGATAACAAAATGTGAGTAATTTTTCTATAAGCTATTCTTTTTATATATATATTTTTTCTGTGCTATTATACTGCTGAACGGCTACGTTTTGCAAAGTGTAGCTTGTCTAGAGCGGTTTGTGATACCGAAACAAAAGTCACTACTCCTGCAAATTACACGTTCTTTCAATGAACCAATCAGAAACATCCACCTACAGCTGCTGCCAAGGGCGGGAAAACAAGTGGCTCAAGTCTTCGCAGCCATTCATATCTTATAGCAAAGCGTAACAAAATCAAATTGCCAAATTACTCCGAACACCACTGAAAATCGTTTTGTTGTACTTTAAAATGCAGCTACATTTATTCCGTGGAGTATGGGCGAGTTGTGGACACTAAGTCGGGGCATGACGATGCAAGTAAGTGTTAGTTATTCGCGGAGTGAGTTTCTCAAAAACGTTTCAACACTGTGGTCATGTATAATTCTGGGAGGCTTGATGCACAACATCTAGTAGCTCTACTTGCCTGAAATGGAAATAAGAACATGCAACTCGTGCCAAGCGCGCGAAAACCTTGCAAGTAAGCACGTGAACACACACACACAACCTTATTAACCAAACCGTGCAGTGAAGCTATCCAAGTCAATGGAGAGAAGTGTGACGTCATGTTACCATGGTAGCAAAATTGCGGATCACAACAATAGGGAGCTTAAGACGACTGCTTTGGTCGTTTTCGTTCGATATTGAACGATGCATATCTTCCTTCCTGGACGCATTTAGCTTTCCGTTTAAGTTAATAAATTGGTAAGCAACTACTTCAGTAAAGATAGATCCTTCCAGCGATACCTCAATAGCGACACACTAAAGAGCGACAAAGTTTCAAACAGTGCGAGTTCACTTTTTAAGTGCCCTTTTTGGTTTGTTGCCATCCAGAAATTTTGCTACCATGGCAACGTGACGTAACTACTTCTCTCTATTGACGCATGTAGTGTTACCTCGTCTAGGAAACGCATCATTTTGGACTCTTCTTTGCTTAAATGTGTCTTATGTGTCTTAAGTACTCAACTGTCCATTGTGTTATTTATTGTATCGTTTTATCTCATTTTAGTTTCATGTTTGTGCTGGAATGACGGCATCCTAGTAACCGCTTCTTGGGATTCTACCGTCAAGGTGAGCTTTATCAGCAAACTTTTACTCCATGTAAAAAAACCTCAACGATCCTGTCTTATCTCTTAGGCAAGTTATGTCTCTTAGGTCCCTGATCAACGAACTTGAAAAAAATGGAAATACAGTCGATCTTGGTCGCTTACGAAAGGTAGTCGCGCGAGGACTTCCCGTAAGCGACCACCGCTGCAAAACACCAAAATTGTCCGAGTCAAAGCCCGATAATGAGAACCTCTTGTTAACGACTCATAAGCGACCGTGGACACTTTTTGGCCAGACTGTTTTATTATTTCCATTGTTTTTTAACGTCTTGTAAGCGACTACTTGACACATGGTATGGTCTCCTTGTTCGCTGTATGTACTATACCGCTCAGCGTATACGAACGACTTCCAGTTACAACAAGGAGCTACACGTATACGTAACATGGAATTTGCATGCAATAAATTCTCTTCCAAAAAGTAGACCTCTTCTCTGAAGAGACCTCCTGTGGGTTGATTCCCGTAGGCGATCAATAAATTTTCGCCATTCAAGTGATCGCTTACGACAGGTTCAACGGAGTTCGGTCGTTTCGATCCAAACTGAAGTAGGAGTAACTGCAGAATACCCTGCCAACTTCAAAAAAGCATCCACCACGCTTGCGCAAGAAAAACTGGCCAGGTAAATTCCGCTCCCCTGTTTTTCAAAGAGTTTTAAAACCGCTTTTAGTTAATCAAAAATCTTTGTGTACTTCCCTTTGCGTCAGCTTTTTTATATAAATTACGTATTTCAAACATAAGCATATTTTCTCATTTCTTCGCATGTAGGTTTGGAAGTTCTTTCCTGAACCAGAAGGCAAGAAACCCTCCCCTCCGGAAATTCTGGTAAATATTTCTCTACGGTGATCGGCAGACGCTTAAGTTTAGTTGTTGTTTTAAGTACGACTGATGAAAGTTGATGCAATGAAGGCTAACTTGTCTCACTTTCTTTGCGATTGTTCGATGATCCACAAAATCGGTTTTCTTTTAACATGGTGTTCTTTTCCTTGCTGTCAGCGCCAAACTAACGCAAAATATGGTTAGTTGATAATTAAGTTTAAACCTTAGGCCTTGTAGCCTGAAGCATATTCAGGCTATATCAAGCTTCGTCGATGACCGTGCGATTTTCTGCACTCCGCTCCATAATTCCATCAAGTCAGCTGGGACCCTGTCGTTTTGTATCGTTTTGTTTTTCTTACATCAACAGTCCAATAAAACCAATTTGAGGTCAACCAGTTGACCTTATCGCCTGATGAAGGCTAACAGTTAGTCGAAACATCGTGATCTTTAACCCAAGTGATGACTAAATCGTTAGACTAAAGATTATTATTATTATTATTATTATTATTATTAATTTAATTTTCCTTTTCTT